GGTCCCCAGGAGGCCACACCTTCTGGAGCTGCTGAGCAGCAGCCTGTGAGGGGAGCCGGGCTGTGCTTGGTCTCAGACGCCCATCGAGAGCTTCTTGGGCCAGGAGAGATACAGCCAGTTCCTGTGAGATGGGGTCTGGCTGTGGGCTGGACTCCTCCTGTGAATATTCCCACCTCAGGAAAGTCAGCTCACCTTGAGGGAGGGGCCTTTACCACAAGAGGAGAACCAGAAGCTGACGGGACAGGAACAGTCGGGTGGCAGGTCTATGTCCCCAAGTCTACCAGGCTGTCCCTGTCCACCAGAGCAGCCCACCAGCCTCCAAGCGTCAGCTGTACAGGGAATGATTCTATTCCACCCACCTAGGAGCAGAACCAGGGCCTCGGGGCGAGGCCTCTAATGCAGTCATCGCAGGAGCCTGGGGTGCTACCATTGGCACCCTTGCTGTGTGGTGATAGCATAAGAGAAACTGTCTTGGGCGGGGGGGGGGGGGATCTAAGAAACCTGTCTATGATTAAAGGTAAGCATGGAAGGCGGGTGCTGCCATGAACCAGGGCTAGAATGGCGGAGAGCAGGAGGGTATGGGGTATGTGTGGGCAAGGGCCCAGTAAAAGACACAGGCAGTCATGTCTCTGACAGGTGGGGACTTTGTCAGGCTGAAGTCTGAACCCAAAGTCCCGGAGTGGAGCAGGGAATAGTAGAAGGGGGATGCAATTGGTACCTGAAATTGGCAAACAAAACCTGATAAAGGGTGTTGCAATGCCATCCCTTACGGTTAAGAGGGCAGCTTAATTCGTTCTGTGAGAGCTTAGCATCCCCTCCCCCAGCCCGGCTGATGTGAGCGGAATACCTCTGCCTCTGCTGTTTCCCACACACAGACCTGGCAGCATTACACAGACATGGAGTCTCCAGACTTCATCTGAGGAGCCCATCTGGTTTGAAGTAATACAACAAGCAGGAAAGGGAACTGAATCAAAGGCTTGATGTGTGGTTAGGGAAACGCAGAGAACGTGAGACTCACTGCCAGGAGGAAGGTCCCGCAGCAGCCTCGCAGGGCCAGGGGCCCAGTCTCTACTTGCTCTGGGCTGGATCCACAGCAGGATGTGAAGGTGGCTTGAGAGATGCTGGAGGAGGGGGGGAGGGGACTCACTGGCCAAGCTCAGATGGGACCCTAAGAAACACACACAGGACAGGAAACATCAAAAGAGTGCCCAGAGCCCAGAGTCCACGTGGCTCCCCAGCGTTTACACCGACCCAGCACCACTACAGCACAGAGGGAAAACGGAGGCACACAGCCCAGTCCAAGCAGCCTGTCCTGCCGTCATGCCTCCTTGGCCATCCCTCCGTCCCTGCCGGTGCCCTGCTCCTTCTGGCTGCCACTTTGATCTCTAGTTCACCTGGAGCTGGCTGTCTCATCCCCCACACTGTCATCACAGGAATCACACACACTCTGCACCCCCAGCTGGGGCTGGGGGCTGGAGCTGCAGAACAGCCAGGGTCTCCCTGTCAGCACCACTCTAGGCACCCCTCAGCAGGTTCCCTTGTCCTCTGCATCCCAAATGTTCCCCTGGGGGAGACCCAGGGCAGCATGGTGCTCCCCCACTTTCCTTTACACAAAGGCACCATTGCCGAGCAGGCGCTCCTGGGGACCCCTCGCCGGCTGCCTGTGGCTCTGGACATCGTCTCATCCACCCCTAGTTGGTCTAGTTCTCCAGTTGGGTGTTTATTATGTTTCTGAAGAATTCTGAGGCGTGAATAGGAGCCCAGACCATCTGTACCATCTAGGGATTCCTGGGGACATCACGGGGGAGCTCAGCCACTGCGGTGTGGGTAATGAAGGAGATGCAGGAAGAAGAAGACCTTCTGTCCCCTAGAAGACAGTACAGCAGCTGACGTGGGCAGGCAGTGTGGCTGCAGAGCCATTAAGGTGGAAGGGGAAGACAGTGGCTCTCTAATGACTGCCCAAAGTCTATTGGCTAGCAGCAGGAGCAGGAGGCGTGTCTATTGGCTAGCAGCAGGAGCAGGAGCCATGTCTATTGGCTAGCAGCAGGAACAGGAGGCGTGTCTCCTTTTGTAGGGAGGGTCTTTGTAGCTCTGACTGTCCTAGAACTCTCTATGTAGACCAGGCTGACCTAGAATTCACAAAGACCCACCTGTCTGTCTCCTGAGCTGGGATTACAGGTGTGCTCATTTCTCTTTCTTAGTTCTGGAGGCTGGAAGTGGAGATCAGGATGGTGCAGTGGTTTGCTCTCATGAGGGCCGCAGATGGCCACATTCTTGAGTCTCTCTGTGGCAGAAGAATGAGGGGACCCCCCCCCCTTTTTTAAAGATTTATTTATGTATTATGTACACAGTATTCTGTCTGCATGTATCCCTGCAGGCCAGAAGAGGGCGCCAGATCTCATTACAGATGGTTGTGAGCCACCATGTGGTTGCTGGGAATTGAACTCAGTACCTCTGGAAGAACAGCCAGTGTTCTTAACCTCTGAGCCATCTCTCCAGCTCGAGGGGCCTCTTTTCTAAAATTTATTTTTACTTTATGTGTATGGGTGTTTTGCCTATGCACCATGTGTGTGCAGTGCTTGTGGAGACGGGACCAGAAGAGGGCATCTGCCATAGCTCCTGGAATTGGAGTTACAGGTGGCTTTGAGCTGAACTCCAGCCCTCTGGAAAAGCAGCCAGTGTTCTTAACCACTGAGCTATCTCTACAGCCCCCATGTCATCTTTTAAATGGGTACTAGTCCTTCTCAGGGGAGCTCTGCCTGCTCCCACCCACCCACCCCCACCCCTGAGTCACATTCTAAAGGTTCTGTCTCCAAATACCATCACATTGGGAGCGCAGAGTCTGAACTGGGGTTGTGCACATTTAGAAACAAGGCAGGGTATGGTGGTGCACGCCTTTAATCCCGCCCTCAGGAAGCAGAGGCAGGTGGATCTCTGTGAGTTTGAGGCCAGTCTGGTCTACATAATGAGCTCTGGGACAGCCAGGACTACATGGTGAAACCCCCCTCTCCTCATCTCTCTCTGTGTCTCTCTCCATAGATAGATAGATAGATAGATAGATAGATAGATAGATAGATAGATAGATAGTGTGTGCATGTATGTATATATAGTGTGCCTGTATATATAAATACATACATACATACATACATACATACATACATACACACACCCCACACCACACACACACACACACATCTATCACCAAGCAAACAAACAAAAACCCAGATTGGCCATCACAGAAAAAGAAACTTCTGGAAATCTGCCTCCCATAAGGCAATTAAGGGCTGTTCAGAGGCAGTTGCCCATAGGGAGATCAGCTCCATGAGATCAGCGGCCAGGCAGCGCCAAGCAGACACACAGCAAACCATAAAGGAGCAAGGAGAACATGGCATCAGTGTGCCCTGCATGGCCTTCTGTTTACAGGATGCTCTCAGGCTCATCCCTGGAGCAGAGGGAGAAGTCCTTGGTCTTTAAAGGTCTCTACATGGTGCAGACAGCATCCTTCCCCGCTGCCTCTGGTCCACACTAGGAAGCACACCAGTGAGGACCTGAGTCGTAAAATGTGCGTTTGTGTGGCTAACCATGGCCCAGTTCTCCTTGTGAATGAGCCAGCTCTGGGAGCCAGCTCTGAGGGAGCAGGGTATTTTCAAGGCCAATGAGTTGCACACTTAGGGTCTCTGCTCTGTGATGTGTCCCACCTCTTATTTACAAAAGCCAGGTGCTGGGACAGCTCTCTTCAGCTTTAAACAACACCAAAGTGGAGGTCCCTAATGAAACAGCTCTTCCCCATTTCCCCTGCATGTTGAAAGAATGTGATATGGTTGCATTCCATGGGGAGAAGGGCTGCCTGAAGCCGACCATTGCCCTCTGCAGGACAAACCCCAGGCTTCTACTCCAGTAGACATGGAGTCCCTGGCTTCCCAGGGACTAAAGTATGAGGCCACTGTGGAACAGGTGGCCTTGAGCAGAGCCCGCCGTCACTTGCAGAAGGAAAACTTGCATTTGAAGGTGTGGTAGGGGCAGGACTTGGGAGTAAGTGTCCGTAGCTGCCCTCAGGAGAATGCCCCACGGCTATGTCTCCTCTGGACATACGGACAGATGCTGCCGAAGTCTGCATGCCCTGGTGCTAGATGCCCTTGGAGGGAAGGGACTGGCCACCAACCTGGGACAGGTCAGACGGGAGACAAAGTTAGACTTGGGGCTAACCTCTGGAAGTGCCTGGGAAAGGGGTGTCTCCGCTGGCAGCAAGTGCCATGAACACACTGCAACAGAGGGCCAGGGGTAGAACCTGGCATTTCCCGCTTGTTTGAGGCATAAGCCAGCCTTGACTGGCTGGCCTTCGGTTGGCCCTTCCTGCTCAGGAAGGGAGGGATCAAAGGGTTCCTTTGGCCACTTGGATGGTGTTGAGTTAATGGAGACAGGTCACCCAGCCACCTGGCCTGGGGAAAACTGCTTCACACGGGAGTTTCAAGATGACTCACGACCACTGTCATTGTACGCCCGCCCCCCACCCCTCTCCGGTCACTCTGTGGGGACATTCAGTGAATAAAGTCAATAAACAGGAGGAACTCAACTCTGGGCTGGTGCCAAGCCAGGGCAATGCTGGAAAAGCACGCCTGTTTTTGTCTTCCCACATGCCATCGGAGGCCGGATGGACAGTGTCCTGTCCGGACCATCATTCCCGGCTTCCTCGGAAAAACTGTAGGGTCTAGTCCTGCCAACAGGTCAGCGCTCAGGCCCAAGTCCTGCAGCAGCAGCTTCAGGTGTGGGGAACTGAAGGGAAAGCCAGTGCCTGCCCTGGGGGAACCGCAGCCAGCCAGCCTGTGGGGGACCCGGGGAGCTGCAGGAGAGAGGCAGAGAGGCCAACGGGAGGGGAGGGCTGGTTAGAGCCGTGGAGACCCCTGCTCCAAGCCCCCACCAGTGACCAGGCCTGGAAAGACTAAGTCTCTCTCTCCCAAAGATGCCCGCTCGAACGGGATGCAAATGAATAGCCACACTGGCAGTTTCCAAAAGAGGCGAAACCGTTTATGAAATCGGCGCCGGTGCGGTATCTACAGTATCTACACATATCTACACGTATCTACACCGCCCGCAGGCGGGGCTCACTCGGGTCGTCTACACTGCAATTGCCGGCCGGGCCGGAGGCGACGCGGTCTCGCGGAGAACAATAAATACCACTTCCTTCCGCCTCGGACGGGAGCTTTGGCACTGGCGGGCGGGAGGCCCGCAAGGCTCCCCAGCGGGGGAGCGCGTCCTTAGGTGGCCCTTGGGGCCGCGCGCGCGCGGGCGGGCGCACTATCTGGGGCAGTAGTCGTAGGCACCAGGCGGCGCGGCCGCCGACGAGTACACGTTGGCTGCTGCTGCTGCTGCTGCTGCGGCGGCGGCGGCCGGGTTCACCGCCGGGTGGTGGTGGTGGTGCGGGTGCGCGTGGGGGTGCGCGTGCGGATGGTAGCCGTGGCCGCGCAGGCCGGGCAGCGGGTAGGGCGCCGGCCGGCTCTTGGCCCCGAGGTAGTGGTCGTAGGCGGCGGCCGGGTACTTGTAGGGATGGTGGTGCAGCGGCTCGGACGCGCCCGGCGCCTCTAGGCGCAGCTCGGGGTGCGGGGGGCTATGCCGGCCTCCAGACGCTCCGGGTAGTGGGACGAGGCCGCCAGACCCGGGCAGTGCGGGGCTCAGGACGCGCGCCAGCAGCTGCGGCGGGTGCGCGGCGTCGCCGAGCGCTGTGGGTCCGGAGTCACGCTCGAACTCTCGCCGGGCTTCTGCCGCGTCTGCGGGGAGAGCCGGGGGTGAGAGCCGGGCAGGGACCGTCCGGGACGCACCTGCCAAACCGAACCACAGTCCCCAAACCCACCCCGGGTCCACGACGTCCGGGGCGCGGCGGGCGGGACAGAGGGCGGGAGGACGAGTGCCCGCTTGCCCGCCCGCCACCTCCTTGTGCAATTGGTGAAGCCGCGACGCCCCGGGGTGCAGGCGAGGCCGGGTGCGGCGGCCGACCCGGGCGGAGCGCGCACGGGCTGCGGCCGCGATTCCACGACCCCCGGTCCTACCTTTCTCCGCGCCGTTAGGCTGCGTGGGGGAAGCCACGGGGTTCCGAGAGCGAGCAAAGGCACTCACAAGCGGCAGCGCTCCGGGGCGGTGGTTCCGGGGCCTGCGGAAGGGAGTGGGGTCACCACCGGCGTCCAGGCCAAGCGCCCAGGCGCTGGCCTTTTCTTCGGAGGGCACTCACCAGTCCTCGGGGTCGCAGTCCCGGAAGCCTTTGGCGAAGGGATTGCTGGCGATCTTAAGCTGCGTGATCTGCGGGGAAGCCGACGTAAACTAGCCGTGCTAGCAGCCCGACCTCCGCAGCGGCGCACAAGGGAGGGTTTCTGGCTTTGGAGGGGTAGGCTCTGTGCGCTGTCTAGAGGAGAAGGGGCCCACAACAGCCCCCGCCCCCGCACGGTGTGCCTCTCTCACTAGACCTGTCTTTGCCTCCCCAAATAAGCCACGAGAGAGAGTGTCCCTGGCTGGCATGGGAATGCGGTCACCTCCGCCTTCCTCAGCCCCCCAGCACGAAGAGGGCCACGGAGCTGGCGCCCTCGGAATCTGGGTGAAGCTCAGATCAGGCCTCTGATGGGGAGTTTCCGGAATGGTTTGGAAAACAAACTTTCAGGCCGCAGTGACAGTCGCTGCTACAGAGGTCAAGCTGATACAGGAGGTTGGACCGGCCCGTGGAGGGAGAGGGCAGTGGTGTGCCGGCCCAACCAGGACCCCCCAGCAGGCCCTCACCCGGTGGTTCTGGTAGGCGGTGACTGCCGTGAAGCGCGTCTCCTCAAATACAAAGGTTTTGAAGTTCTCCTCTGCATATTTCTCGCTGTCCTTGCGAGGGTCCACGTAGACAACATGGAAGCGGGGCTGGTATCTGTGCATGGAGTTGAGAATGATCTGGAAGACAAGGGTGGCTGAGTCAGCTCCAGCCTGAGGCTGGAGGAAGATTCGGGCCAGAATCACGAAGTCCGAGGACGCACTGAATCTCCTTAGCTAGTTTGGGCGAACTCCCCCCTTCTCCGCGGGGCCCATTTAGGACCTCCAGGGAAGGATGCTTCTGCTGGTAAATGACGGGGTTGTTGCTCTTTCCTTAGGACCCCTAGTTTTGCCCCAGGCCTGCAGGGGGTGGTAGCTGAGAGACGACAGAGCTCCACCCAGCTGGAGAGTGGCCCCCAGGCTGGGACTGCACAGGCCTCGGCCCTCCTGAAGGGCCCATCCTTTCTAATTAAAGAGCCCCCACTGTGAGCTCAGAGGGGGGGGGGGGGGGAAGAGAAGGAAGGTGTACCCCCTTCAGGCCAAGGCCACCCCAGTGCTGCCCCAGTACTGCCTCTGCCTCTGGTCGGTGGGGAAGGCCTGCCACAGGGGGGTAGCCCCGAAGGCGGAGAGGGGTCTCCTACGTGGCCATTGTCGTCCAGCAGGTTATTGGTCAGCTTCAGCTTGTCGAAAGACACGATCTGCTTCATCCACTGTGCGCCCTTCGCCGGAGAGTCAGGGTGGTAGTGCACTCGGCCAGGCGTGGCGGGGTCTGCCTTGCCTGCCACCAGCCAGGAGGAGCTATGGAAGGCGTACCTAGGGGAACACGGGGGGGGGGGGGTGTCATACTACGTAGAGGCAAACAAGAAGACCCGTGCTTCAGGGCTGTCTCTGTTCACGGCGAAATCAGGACTCCCGAATCACAGAGGCTAGAGAGGGGCTGTGGATAAACCAGAAACCTTCCTAGGGCTGCAGCACACCAAAGGTGCGGGAGTCCGGGCCCTGCTGCGGCAGAAGACGAGGAAGCCACTCCCCTCTCGCATTTCGCTCCAAGCGGGTCTGCCTGCCCCAGGGCCCAGGAGGCAGGAGACTGGTTTTGGCGTCATCGGCCAGTGGCTCTGGGCACAGGGCGGCCCATGTTCCCTTTATTAATTACTGTTAATTGTCCAGGCAGCCCAGGCCCGCCCTGCATAATCTTTACCAGCCACCCCACCTTTCCGGCATAGCTCTGGAACTGACGGTTCTCCAGAGATGGGGGAAGGGGACAAGACGTTCACCAGGAGACAGGGGTAAAGTGGCCGGGCACGCGGGCAAAGGCATCTGAGCTGCCTTTTTTTGCCAGAAGTTCAAGAGGGTACTACAGTGGGTTTCCAAGGCCACTTCTAGAGAATAAACCGGGGTGGGATCTGAGCGGGGCGAAGGGGAGCCGGGCAGGGGCGGTCACTGGAGCAGCCAGCACAGGAGGACCCGGTCACGAAAGAGTTACTTGGCGTGTGTGGCATTGGAAGTCTGTCAGCAGCCAGGGACACCCTCCCTGTCCCCTGGACACACGGCTTGTCCCAGTGGTCCCAAGGGCTGGCTCACCGGTAGCGCTTGTCATCCACAGGCACAAAGTCCATGAGCAGCATGTAGTCAGCCATGGGGTCCATTCCAAAGAGCTTCACTTGGAAGGTGGGAAACATTCGCCTGGGGGGAGGTCGGGTCACCTCAGGTGGGGGCGGACAGGACTGCCCTCTGCTCTGACTTCTCTGGCCTGGCAGCCCTTAGCTCAGCCCTGCCTTCGGGCCCCTCCTCAGCTGCTGTCTTCAGCCCAGACCTTCAGACTCGCCTTCTAACCTCAAGTAGGCCCTTATCCAACCATGCAGCAGCAGGCTGGGCCCGGGTCCCTCTCTGAAACACAGAAATGGCTAACCAGGTGCCCAGCTGCACGGTCCCAGAGCCTATTCTGTCTTCCTTGCCCACACAGACAGCCTTGCCCAAGGAATTCCTTGAGCTTCTGGACTCAGCCTAAACCAGCAGCGGGATACCTAAGACCCCGGCTTCTCCGGACTTCTTAGAGCCTCCCCTGCTTGATCCAGCAAAGTGAAAGAGTTCCCGGCTCCAACAAAATGAAACCGAGCGCTGCAGTGATTCCAAAAGTCTCCACTGATACTGTGTCCAGTCCCCCCAGTAAAGCCGACACCTCAGAACTCCAATCTCCAGCTCCCAAGACCTGGCAAGACCTCCCAAGAGTCTTTCCACCTTATGTAGGGCACAGGCAAGTCCCCACTTCCCCCAAGAATCTACTTGCAAAGGACTTAGATTATGCGTTCCCGGTTCCCTCTCTCTACTCTGAACCCCTCCAGTGACATTCAAGGCCCTTGTTCTTCTGCCCCGGGGCCAAGAGGCCTAGCCGCTTTCTTCAGTAGGCTGTGTGGGTATGGACAGCAAAAAAGAACCTGGAGAAAATCCACAGAGCAGCAGCAAAGGACAGGCCCTAGGTTCCCCCTGGGACGGCTGCACAGCAGGGAAACAGAAACCTCGAGAAGGCTTTGCAAACAGGCCCTGAGCCTCCTTGGCCACCGAGCTGGTGTGTACATTAGACACAACCCAGCACCCGCCTTTGTCTACCGGTCAAATCGGGAGCATCTGCAATTGTTCCCTTTCCCTCTCGGCCCTTAAAACAAATAACAGGGTGACTGGCACGGATACCCTGCCAGGCTTACGGAGAACTGGGCCCACAAGCGGCCGAAATTGAGGCCCAAGAAAACCGGGTCTCGAGTTCTCGGAAACTGAGCGCACTGGCTTTTTAGGGTCTTAATTCCTTCCTAAAATTATTCATACAATTAGGGGGTGTTTGCTCTTGAGGTCGCCGTACAGACTGAACTCACGCGGAGTTTCCTAGGTGGCGGCTGCCTGACCGCCGCAGCCGGGCGCACTCTCAGCCTACAGATTTCCCTCGCAGAGTCCCGGGACTCGCGGTTGGTGCTCCGCGGGTTGTCGCTGGAGCCGGGTCAGCAGAGAGGCCAGAGGGACCCGCAGGTGGCCGGGCCGCACCTCTACCCGCTTCTCCGCCCGGCTCCAGCGCATCCCTTGGACACTCAAGTCAGAGGCGCGGCACGCACGTGGGCAGGGGCGCGGAGAAGGGGCGCCTGACCTGCCCGCCTTGGTGACGATCATCTCGGTGCCCAGCTGATTGAACTCGTCCCACAGCGCCTTCATCTCCAGCTGCACGCTCACGCTGGCCACCTTCGGGTTCTTCTTCACCGGCGCCTTGGCGGCGGCCGCGCGGGTGGCCCCCGGACCCTCCGGCTCCGCCGCCGA